TCTTTCCCAAATCTTCATTGTATGACTCATCAACTTTATCCCTCTGTAGTTGTTACAACTCTGTACATCACCCTTCTTATGAATTGGCACCAGAACACTTTTTCTCCACTCATCAGGCATCTTGCCAGTCTCTAAAATCCTGTTAAACAACCTAGTCAGGAAATTTACCGCCACTTCTCCTAAACACTTCCATACTTCCACTGGTACGTCATCAGGACCAACTGACTTTCCACTCTTCATCCTCTTCAGGGCTTTTCTAACTTCATCCTTTCTAACCAGATCTTACATATTCTTCCTTTAGGATCACCCCTACTCCATTTCTCTTCCCATCCAAACAATGATAAAACAGTTTGTTTCCAATGTTTATAGCCTTGCTGCCCTTCCACCTGGTCTCCTGGACACACAAAATGTCTATTCTTCTTCTCTCCATCACATCAGCCAGTTCTCTACTTTTCCCTGTAATTGTACCTACATTCAGAGTTCCAAACTTTAGACCAACACTTCTATTCTTCCTCTTTTCTCTTTTTGTCTGAATCAATCGCCCTCTTCTTCTTTGTCTCTGACCAACAGTAGTCCAAATCTCCATCAGTGCCCTGTAGGTCAACAGCACTGTTGGCGGTTGTTGTTAACCTGGGCCTCAATCGATCCAGTATGGAAATCGTTTTAGTGATTCGCATATTTGATCAGGCTAAAAGTTTTACATGGATACCCTTCCTGATGCAACCCTCACCATTTATCCGGGCTTGGGACCGACACTACAGTATCACTATAGTAGCACTGGTCTGTGTACCCTAGTGTACCCTAGTGGCTGGTTTTACCCTAGTGGCTGTTTTTTTAGTGGCTGGTAGTAGAAAGTTGTTAAGATGTCATTTTTTGTCAAAGCAACAATCAAGATTTGTGATCATTTATTTCACCACTACGTAAAGAGATCTTCAATCCAATGCACAGAAAAAAAAGTACCTAAAATTCCCAGTCGTGAGGACAAGGCCACATTGAAAATGTAGATGGTAATGTTATTGTCCAGATGGTGCCTATATACTAACAACAGTTCAGACACTGCACATTGAAACACTTTGTACTGAATGCTCACTTTTGTGCTTTGAACATATGATGTTGTGGACGTGGACTCAGTAAATCCATCTCCATCTAAGGTAGAGTTCATTTTTAGCAGTGTGAAAATGAATTGACAATGACTGCACTACCATCACTGTGATACTAAAAAAACAGAGTCCTGCTGATCCAGGACATGTGTTCTTCTCTGCCGATGACCTTTTCATGTTTGAATCTTTGGACTTGGATGACTTTGTGTTGGCATGTGCTATGTTTGGTTCAAAAAGAAATTAATTGTAAAAAACATTAATCTTTCATTACTACTCATGACTATAACTGCAGTTGGAATTTTGTATATTTTGTTTCCTGATTAAGGAAAAACTAACTTGTGCTTTTCTCAAAGAATGTAAACTGGAGGAACTGGTAGGTGCAATGTATTATTATATAAAACAACAACAACATTTAATTAGGAGAAATTTTGTTGTTTTTCAACAAAAAGAAATGTGGTTTAAGGTCATAACATGCCAACATTAGGAGATAAACAGGAAGAATTGGTCCAACATAAATGGCAGCCAGGCTGTTACAAAACTGACTGTGGGGTAGTCTGATAGACAATGATTTGTCTATTGAATCTGCTCAAAATATCATTACAAGTGCTATGCAACATAGACTGGTTCTTTAAGAGACACCACAGTTTGTGTTTAGTAGCCTTATTAAAACAGTATAACATAAGTGTTTGTATATGCCGTCTAAGACCTCGATTTCTCTTGGTACTGCTAAAGCTAGCTTTCAGTCCTCACTGCACTGTATGGCATAAACAGCATTGTTGTTACTTAAACTCTAATTCCTACCAAATTGATATTCTCAATGAACAAAGTAAATTTAATTACACATTTGTGAATTTGTGAAAATATTTAAATTAATTTGCCTCGCATTGCTCCCAGCAATAGCACCGTGGCCAGGACAAAACAGCCTTTCTTACCAGCAATGACACTGCATCCAAAACTGCATTACAAAAACAAAGTAGAAAGACATCCATTTTCTTTACAGGCTTTGGATCAAACATATATTTAAAATAATGCTATTCTACAACAGCTGTTGTAATGTTATAATTCTAAGTCCAAGGGAACCACTTCATGTTGCGTAGCAGGTAAAATGATAGCTTGAACATATTAAAAGGAAAAGAGACACAGTTTGTAGTTCTTTCCCCTTGGCCGTGCTGAACAGAAGGTACTACATCCATGTTGAACCAATTCTTTTTTTCTGTTGACGGTTCCTGATGACCTTTAAAAACATTGTGTTTAAAAAATGCCAGTTTATCATCTAGGGCTTATGTAAGAGGAACAACTAACACATTTTAACTAAAAACATTGGGAAATAAAAGTTAAGGGATTGTTTAAAAAAAAAAAAACATGATAAAATAACCAGAAGTCTGATGTCTGATGAGAGGATACATGTGTCACCAGCAACAACTGGAGAGAAATATAATAGTTTTAATTTTTTTGTTTTCTATATTTAATATTGATGTATGACTTTTTTGTTGGCCTTTAGCAGTGGAGCCAATGTATGATTAAATATGTTGTTTCTGAAGTGTTCTGTGTTTTAATATTAAATGTACTGCTTAAGGTCATAATCCAGTGTTATGAGTTGATGAGCTGAAGTGCCAAATGTACCAGTTCACCAGAGTTGGCAAAATCACTCACTCAGAGCCCACGTTGCTAATTGTTTTTTTATTTCATATTTTAAATAATTTAAAAGTTAATAGAAGTAAAACAATCATCTAGGACAAATAAATGATAACACAAATAAAAAACAACTTTTCATAATTCATAAAATGTGAGTAATATTGATGCTCTCATACAGTCAGTTAAGCATTTACATATATTACAAAAATATTAGAAGTACTTAATGTAATGAAGGTAAAATACTTTTTTCTTTGCTGCGTGAAGGCTCAGTCTTCGTCTGCATCGTCAAAGGCCACACCAGTCGCCTGCACTTTCCTGTAACACAAACCAACCGTTGAGCCATGGTTCACAGCTGCTAGTAAAATCGAATTGTGATTTAAATTACTTTTTAGTTCCTGGGTTAATGAGTGAACTTCCTGGTGGTCGTCTCTTCACAGCCATTGAGTTCTGCTTCTGCTGTCGAGGCTCAAACACTGAAAAAAAAGAAAAGTGCACTCACAATAATCACTCTGAATTCCCACAGTTCCCCAAAAGTGCCTGGATTTTGTTGTGCATCAGTCAAAAGAACTCCTTAGAACTTCCAGTGATGAAATCCAATATAAATACTGCTTTGGTGAGTAAAACTTTCACATATAACTAAATATTGCAAATTGTTGACAACAAGGGAAGAATGTTCTACAAGGTATTAGTTGCTGTGCTTCCAATGGTCTTGTCCCTTGGGCCTTTATTTTGGAAACAAGTAAGTTTGCCTGTGTGTATCCCTAACATGCAGTATGATGACTTTATGTCACATGGAACATAAGATAATTGATTGAGATAATGGATTGATGTGGCACATGGAACATGAGATAAGTACCTGTGTGATGCTTTTTCACTGGACTTTGCACATTTTTCACTGGACTGATAGCTGATGGTTTACCTGACAAAGATAAACGTTACACAAAGTTGTTTTAGTAGCAGTTCAAACCCCAGGCTATACAGTTTGTGAAAACCAGAGGTATAAGACACTGCAGTACTGTAGTTTAGCTGTGTAAGACTGTCGGCCATCCTGAACATCAGATTCCTTAGCTCTTCAGCAGCCTGTGGACCCTCCAGTCTGGACAGACTCATGCTCAGGCCACCAGGCCTGGAGCCCACCTGAAGTTCTGCTTCTGTGTCATGGACCAGGACTGACATCTTACCACTACTAGAGGCCGACCTGAGAACAACACAGAGGAAACACCGGTCCTGAGTGATTCCACTCTGCTGGCTGCATGGCCTCACAGGTAGAAATATATTGCACTTGTATGTATTGACTAAAGCATAACTTAACTAGTTGAAGAAATACTTTTATTTTTTAAACAGTAAAAAGAGGTAAATCATTCTAATAATGGTATTATGTGTTTTTTTCTTTAGGTTAATGTGTCAAATTATCATGAACAAAAATATTTATATTTAGCAAAAAAGACTTTAGCTTTCATTTCAACTCGTCGTTAACAAAGTGTAGAGTTCTTGTTTGGGTTATTTGGCTGTAATTAGCTTTCTTTCTCTTTTGTTGCAAAAATACTAAATGTTGTTTTCTTAACTTCATCATATTAAAATCAGAATAATTTAAAGTGTGCAAAATCCGTTTTGAAAGTGCAATAAAAGTTGTAATTTTACCTCAGTTTTTGAATATAATCATTTGAAGATTTCAGGTTGAACTTCTGTCTCTGCAAATTACAAAAACAAAGTCAGCATATTTTCAGTGGAATCATGTAAAGTTATACCAAAAATGTGAGGTGACACTTACCAACTTGTTGAAGTCTTCCTCTGTGTATTCTATTCTCCAGAGAGTAACAGCATCAGTCAGACTGAATCACAACAAACAAACAAATACAACATATTTTAAAATCTTTCTTTGTCCTCTACGGACCTACATCTTCTATTTATTCCTTGCAAATGCACTACAGAAAAAAGGTAGTCAGTTTGTACTTATACATTATTATAGGCATATATATCAGAGTAACGAAACACGATTTTATTTTTTGACAATTTATTTCATAAACACAGGATGAGAAAAACAACTAATAAACGTTGAATGAAAAATGTCCTTTTTTTACGTCGGCTTACTTGTCGCACACTCATGAACTAGTTTTAAATTTATATTTCTGTAATAGTGTTGGTGAACGTATTGATGCTTTGAAACTGCTCATTTTTACAAATGTATTTTTTTGTTTCTTTTTCTTCTTTTTTACATTCTGTCGTCATTACAAAGTATGTAAACTAATGCTTAAAGCCCCGCCTTGCTTTGTAATTTCACAAAAACAGAATATTTAATGTATTGCACCGGCCGGACACCAGAATGACAAGGATAGAATTATGAATGAATTCTGGTTTCTGTCTTTCGAATGGTAACACGCCCTCAAACTAACGTGTGTCATATATCGTTCCTATTCTTTTCCTTTCGGTACTCACCATATTGAAAATACTCCGTGTTTTCTGTGAGTATGACAAATAAACCTAGACTTATTCTTTTCATCCGCCACGGTACAGTATAATGTTAAATCTTCCTCCATGTTCTTTGTCCTGTACTGCACTGACTCGAACCAGGAAGAACAACACAGAGAAATATGCCTCGTCCTTCTTCATTGGTATTCATGGCACACAAGCACGATGCAGCACTGCCCTCTACTGGATGAGTCTCATATCTTAACGATTGGGAGATTTTGTGATTAATAAGACAAATATTTTAATGATACTGAAAAATTCATGCTTTATCCTTTATTATTCACTGGGGGGAAGTTTGCTGACATTAAGATATGTGAAAGAGTTGCTGAAGAGCAGCAATTTGGCTTCATATCAAGAAAAGGAGCACAGGTGTGACGTTCCCGTCGTGTCAGAAAAGGTGAGACTGAACTGGACTGTGTCATTCTGGATTTAGAGAGAGCACCTGAGAAGGTGCCAAGTGATAAACTGTGCTGTTGTATGGGGAAGTTGGGCAGAAAAGTATGTGAGGGTGGTTCAGCACCTTTATGCTCAGTATTTACATTTGATAATGTCAAGTTTCTCAACTAGTGATGCTTTTATCTCAGGTCATATAAGGCCATTTAAAACTGTTGGTGGAGAAAATGTCACCAATCAGTACAAAAATCTCACATTTGTGCTGTTATACCATTAAAAAAAAAAGATATAGCGGCAGCTTTTAAAGTCCAATTTTTAATCTATTAAATGTTAAAATATCAGTACAAGAGCGGTGCAACATTGAGTCCTTGTGCAACATCATGATGTCTGCTTCCATAATTTGCTGTGTACTAATGTAAGTAGGCACACAATCATATTTAACACTGTATCATAACCAGTTAATAATTATATAATTTTGTTGAAAAAAAAGGAAACTGGCAACATTCTTGAGTATTTTGTGCATGGTTTACTATGGCTTGTTTACTGTTGTGGAGTAAAAGTGTAGGAGTAATAGAGAACGCCTTTATCCAGGTAGCAGTCATGCTCATGGGTTCCTGGTTTGATGTTTATCTGACAGACTCCCAACAGGTCGTCAAAGATGAAATCTTCATCATGTAGTTCAAGCCTCAGGATGTCATTCTCCTGAGCCTCGTAGTAGAAGAACTCCTCTTCCCACCATGGGTTTGCACTATTTTTGCGAACCTCTGTTTGACCAAGAACTGCAGCCATGCAGGACACCTTCACGTAGCCGTCTGTGACTCCAAAGATGTCTGCGGGAAGATCAGTGGCCCTCAGATTGAACACTTTCAGTTGAGCTTTGGCCACAGCAAGGCTGCATACTAGCAGCAGCAGGAGGGGGCACACTCTGGAAGTCATGGCGTCACACGAAGCTGTGCAGGAAGAATAGAGTTTTATTCAGCATGACAAGTCATCTCAGGTTTTGCTGTGTAGCAGTGGCATATGGTTTCACCTAAAAAGGTTGTTATTGATTTGAAAAAACCCCCAAAACATTTACTTCACTACGTGTTCTCTGCTGCATAATAATTATGAATAATTTAACTGTAGCATGATAGATCAGTACAGTAAGTAGTAATAAGTTTTGATTTAATTTATACAGTGGAGCTAACTTATCTAACACATATGGACAAAATAAACACAAAAAATTAATAAGCAAACACATTTAGCTATATTTCAAATAAGAGATGTGTCACTTAATGTTTATATTTATAAAAGTGGATTATCCTATTATATTTATTAATATCATTTATTTGCCTAGAGACATTTTCAGCAAATATTTAATATTCTGAAACTGACATTATAAAACACAAGATTTATTTTTAATACAGAAAATAAGTTGTTTATTTAAGTTAATAATTGTATTATAATACATATACAATAATAAAATAACTCAATAATTTAAAGTAGAATATTTTACAATAAAATAATACAAATAATGCCACCAATGAAGATGAACAGTCGCAGATGTTGAAGTCTTACCTACAGCTTTGACGATGTGTCTCTCAGGACACTGTCTTCAGTTCCATATGTTTTAAAGGCTGAATAACGTCCAATCAAATTTGACTCCCCCCTTCTATAACACCCAAACCATACAATCTGTTCCATTCTCAGCATTATATAAGGTCAACCTGGGACATTTCTATTTGTTTTTGTGTTCAGAAAAAGGAGAGATAAAGAGCCCGAAATGAAGTTGTTGCCAACATCGGCAACATCTGTCTACGGTGCAAAAAAACATAACAACTAAACCTAATATTCAGAATGGAAATTAAAAAAATACCATAACCAAAACGCATACTCAGAATAGAATAGAACAGAGAATATTAATCCAAAAATGTTATTATTGTATTCCATGGACTATATGTCACATGTTTTTTCATCCTTTGGCTGAGATTGCGACATATACTCAGGTGCTACTTATATGTTAAAATATATAATTTCACATTTGCTATTTTAACACTGCCAGCAGCTAAACGGCACTTTAGGCTGTGTAACAATATCTGCTACTCCTGTACCACTGAAAATTTACATGTTTGTTTTTTCACACTGACAACCACTAAAGGGCACTGGTGCGGCTTATCCTCCAGGGCTACTCATATACGTTTTTTTTTCTTCTCTTCGTTATGCATTTTTTTGGCTGGTGCAACTTTTACTCCGGAGCGACGTATAGTTTGGAAAATATTGTATTTTAATGAATCATCTGTAACTATACTTGACATTACTGTGCTGTAACAACTAGACATGGTCAGATATAAATAGATATTAAATGTAAACCTTCTGATGACATCACTGTTCAGGCTTCTGTTGGACAACTTGTGGACTCTGACTTGCAGTTTTAACAGGAACTGTAGTTTTTTGTGTTCACTCATTCATTTCCACCAAACCTGCTCTAACTTACAAAATTAATATCTTTGTTCAAAACCTGCTCCACTCTCAGGGATTGTAAATCTGCAGTATCAAATAAAGATTTAAATGATGTCACAAAATAGGTCTTTATAACTACTTTTTTCTCCTTTAGTTTCCCCTCTTTAATTAATTAATTTATTTATTGACAGTATTAAGAACAAACTTCAAGCATGGACCTCCAGCCTCAGCACATTACCCTGTTGGGCCTTGTAGTAGGAGAACTCCTTCTCATCTCACCGTGGATTGGCATTAATGTTGCGAATAGACATTTTACCAGGAGAACTTGAGGCATGTAAATAGACATCAAGGCATAGTTTATCATAACCAAATAATCTTTTTATCATTTCACTGAAAAAATAAGAAATTGACAACATTTTGGGTATTTTGACCATTGTTTATTGTAGTACAAATCAGAATCGGGTGTTGCTGGAACTACACTTTAGAATAACAGTTGTATCATCAACAGACGTCAGTAAGAGCTAAAGGTTTCACCCATCTGAACTTGCTTCATTACTATGGAGTAAAAGTGTAGGAGTAATAGAGAACGCCTTTTTCCAGGTAGCAGTTATGCTCATGGGTTCCTGGTTTGATGTTTATCTGACAGGCTCCCAACAGGTCGTCAAAGATGACATCTTCATCATGTAGTTCAAGCCTCAGGATGTCATTCTCCTGAGCCTCGTAGTAGAAGAATTGCTCATCCCACCATGGGTTTGCACTGTTATGGCGAACCTCTGTTTGACCAAGAATTGCGGACATGCAGGACACCTTCACGTAGCCGTCTGTGACTCCAAAGATGTCTGCGGGAAGATCAGTGGCCCTCAGATTGAACACTTTCAGTTGAGCTTTGGCCACAGCAAGGCTGCATACTAGCAGCAGCAGGAGGGGGCACACTCTGGAAGTCATGGCGTCACACGAAGCTGTGCAGGAAGAATAGAGTTTTATTCAGCATGACAAGTCATCTCAGGTTTTGCTGTGTAGCAGTGGCATATGGTTTCACCTAAAAAGGTTGTTATTGATTTGAAAAAAAAAACTGAATAGTTCTACCTGAGCAGTACTCAGATTTCTTTATAACCATTGAAAACAAGTACATTTTACTTCATTCATTAACTGTTATTCTTCTCCAAAACATGAACCATTGTTTGATGTTTTTTTAACCAATTATCTGAAACAACAAACTTTAAATATTCTGAAAATTAAAAAACATAAGCTTTCATTTTTTATCATTGAAAATTTTCATTTTTTATTAAAGAAAACTCTAAGACTGTATCTTAATTCTAAGCACATCATGTTTGACTTCATTATTTAGAGTAGAATGTTTAACAATAATGTTACAATATAATACAAATAATGCCACCAATGAAAATGAACAGTCACAGATGTTGCAGACTTACCTGCAGCTTTGATGACTTGTGATTCAGGACAGTGTCTTTGGTTCCGTATGTTTTAAAGGCTGAAAGACATCTAATCAGATTTGACTTCCTCCGCCTACACACAGTAACAATACATCTGTTACATTCTCAGTGTTATATAACATCAACCTGGGACATTTATGTTGTTGCCAGCACTGGCAACACCTGTCTATGGTGCAAAGAAGCATAACAATTTAATCTAATATTTATATTGGAAACAATTTAAATGTTAAGAACTACAGCCTTTATAGTTTGTATTGATCCATTTTCAAAGAGTTTATCAGTTATAAAAATTATGTTTTTAACTGTTACATAAACCAATGAAAAAACTTTTGACACATTTGACCTAATTATGTCAAATCTAGAGCCAAATCATTCACAAATGTAATTAAAAAAATTATGACACAAAAATGTATCTGGCTGCAACATGTTTTATTTTAACCAACAGCATTTAAACTGATGCAGAAACAGATGCAACAACTAAGATGATTTGAGAGATGCAGGTTTTATATGTAGCTTAAGAGAACGATGTGTCTGGTTTTCAGCCCAGGGTGTAGGTGTAATGGAGGGTTCCACCTTTCTTCAGATAGCAGTCATGACTATTGGTTCCTACTTTGATCTGACGTTGACAAACTCCAATCAAGTCATCAAAGAGGACATCTCTGTCATGGACCTCCAGCCTCAGTACGTCACCCTCCTGGGCCTTGAAGTAGGAGAACTCCTCCTCCCACCAGGGATTGGCATTATTGTTGCGAACGGACGTCTTACCAAGAGAATTTGATGCACAGAAAACGGTGACGTAACCATCAGTGGTTCCCAGCAAGTCAGAGGGAAGGCCACTGGCTCGCAGGTTAAACACTCTGAGTTGAGCAGCAGCTAAACTCAGACCACACAGGAAAAGCAGGAGGGATGAAGAAGAGGAGGCCATGGCTTCAAAAGAGGCTGCAGGATAAATTTAAATATAATTGATTACTGAAAACGTTATTACAGTTGGTTCAAGATTGTCCTTAAAAGCATAACAAGGCAAAACAAATGGCCTCCCTTTTCAGTTTGAATATTTGTTATTAGAGTACTACTGTATTAGAATGTTTAAAGCAACCACCATGTGAAAGATAGGACACTATGACCTCTTAACCAGTGAAATCTAAGGTATGCTGTCAACACTGACTGATATATTAGATAGAAAATGTGTTGGATACAAGTAAAATGTACAACTCTCTTGACTCTCTTGACTAGAAAATAACCCCAAAGCAATGGTTTACAAAAAATATATTAAGTAATCAGTAGCAATCAATTAAAAATGTGGCACAGTTGTATTAATTTCAGTGAGCATTTGTGCATTTTGCACACATTGCATTATCGTCTCTGAAGGCGAATGAGAAATTTCATCTCCTCAACAGCTGGATCTGTTTGTCCCCACCCTGATTACACTCAGTGGAAAAGAAGGGCAAAATCAATATTACTTGAGTGACAAAGTGAAATCAACAGCATGGTAAGCACCAATATTTTGGAAATAAATTAATAAAAAATATACATAAAAACCTGATTAGAAGTACTGTCCAAATAAATATGATTTTTTTTAAATTAAATAATAAATATGTGAGAATATAATTGTATGAATGTACAAATAAATGTGTTTTTTATTCATTACTTTTATCTGTAATTTCAACAGCTTGTCTTCTATATTGTTGTCTCATCCTGGCACAAATTCTCATGTTCTGAATGGACCATAAAACAAGTGTGAACAGAAGACATGTTCTTTTCTGTCTATCAAACTAAACTTGTTTTTGAAGAGATACTGTAGTTAACAACTTAAAATGTCTGAATATGTGCAACAGATTACATGAAAAAACAAATATGCATTTGTCGTGAGATATTTAGGGACAGAAATAAGGTTCAATAACACACAAACTGGCCAGTAAGATACCACAAGGAAAACAACTAAACAATCTCATAAACCCATGTATGTATAAAATATTTGTGAAGAAAGTTAAGACTGCTTATAAAAAGATATTAAGATCAGTTAAAAACACATTAAAACATTAAAAGCATGACATCACATTACACTTGTCTGTACAAAACACGTCAAAGGCCATAAAATGGTGCAACTAAAACAATATCTTAGATTAAACAGAAAATTGCATCAGTTGTAGAAGGAGGAGTTATAATAGCACTGATAACAGAGCCAATGAGTGCTAACAGTATGTGTAATGTACTAATTTACCAACTGAAAGACCAAAGAAAGATCTGAAAAACATACTTTTGTCCAACAGTACAAGAGTCTCAGCCTACCTGTGGTTTCAGTACCTTGTCTCTCGCTGGTCCACTTGCACGCCCATGTTTTAAAGACCACCAGAGCTCTTATCAGTTCCATAAAACTGTCCCTGACCAAAACCTGCTGCACTCTCAGCATTACACAATACCACAAAAATAGACTTAATGAAATGAGGTTGGTGAAGAATCACGTTGTTTGATTTAATATTATTTTACTAACTCAACAAGCTAACAACAAGCTTTTTGTCTTTGAAAAAAGCTTTGCTGTTCAAAAACTGCAACAACCTTATGGTTAGTTTGTTTGAAGATTCAAAGGTTAAGAACATACATGTATTAAGTCAAATTATTGATCTGTGCTGTCTTTTCAAAGAGGCAAATAATGTTGATCTTTGTATTTTTATATAATTTAATAAGCATAGTTTGCTATAAAAATCAAATATAAAAGATAGCTAAATTGGTGACTACGTCTAAGACATTGTATTTTCTTGTTCTTTAGTCTGTTCCATGTTTTCCTTACCAATTAATAAGAAATTAAAAAAAGCAATGACTTAAGGGGAGCCCTTTATGGACAACTGTGACTCAAACTATTTCGATTGTAACAATGTTTAAATATTGTATTACTACTGTAACTAATTGTTGGTCATAAATACAAAAGTTGAAAAAATATGAAATTGCAGGCTACTAAATTTAACCAATCATAAGTCTCCATGTCTTCTCATTAACCAATCAGAATCTAAGTAAGGCGGGTCTTCATAGTAACGGGTGGTAGCGGAAGTTGGAAGTGTTGTCTTCCTGTCTGTTCATTTACATCCTCGCTCGGCCCGAACTGGAATCCACGCAGGAGATATTAACTTCCTAAAACTACGGTCCTTTTCATCGGTAAAGTTCTCAAAAACACATTTAAATCGTGTGACATTACTTCCTACTATTAGTTTCGCTCGTTTAAAATGGAATTGCTCTGTTTTAAAGATGTTACAAGTTTAGTTTGATTTTACCGGTTACTTTATGATGCAAATAATACGTTAAAATGAGGCTCGTAATGTTTATTGATTTTAATATGCTTATTTTCTGTAGGATAATGTTATTTCCAATATGTTTTGGAGACGGTAGTAAAAGGTTTTTTTTGCATTCCTCAGGTGCTTCTCTGGATCTCCACAGTGTGACCAACCTCATCAGTACAACAATGGATCCCAGTCGAACTAGTGAGGGGTCAGGAAGAAGACCCAACACACCCGTGGGTGCAAAAGGACAGGTGACACCGACTTGTCCAAAAGCCACAGTTAAGATGACACCCTTCCACAGCTCACTAATAGCTGGTGGTAATGGTCTGTTCTCTGGGAAACAGCCAACAACCTCTCGTGGAATGTTTCTGTCTTTACCTGGACATGTGACTGGCTCAACCATCAAAGAAAGAGCATCAACTGCTACGGCATCTGCTGTAACTTCTGCTGCAACTGCCTCTGCTGGTGAAATCTCCAGAGAACCAACTCCCAGTTTAGCATTGTCACATGATGTAGCAGGCGAAAAAGCACATCCAAGTTCCCTGGTTGTCAAGGTAAACATACTAGATATCGTAAGAGTTCAAAGCTGTGATGCGTTGGTGTTGTGATAATGTGATGTTTTATTTAGTGATTCAAAGCATTCCATGCACCGCTGAGCATTTTCTCCAGGTTAATCTTGCTTCTTACCCATATTTTTCCTCTTTTTTGTATTGCTTTTAATAACAGCGCTGCACACTTTCAGTTGCACGACTGCCACCTAATGGGTCTATGTTCCATTTGCCAATTCACACTATAGCAAATATTTCAAATAATCACATCACAATTATTATAATGCAGTACATTTGAAATTAATGTAATACATGCGAATTTCACTGTAATTACCAATCTTTTCTTTCTGATTTAGTTTATAAATAATTTCTTGTTTTCTTTGTAAAAGTCTGTGAGCAAAACCGTGCAGACTGTCAATACAGAGCCTGAACACAGCTTCAAAAACAAAGACAAAGAGAAAAAAATCTCATCCTCCTCCAAACCTCAGTCAGGTCAGTGATCTACATTTGTAAACTTTTTTAGTCAGATGTATTATTGTAGCATTTTCTTCTTTCAAAAAACATTTTGTGTTCTGTAGCTGCAAAGAGGAAGAGGAGGAAGATGGGACTGTATAATCTAGTCCCCAAAAAGAAGCCCAAGGTGCTTAAATCGCAGGAAAAGGTAGGTGAAGATGTTCATTTCTGTCAGCTGCCATTAACTCAGGCACACTGACTAATGGTCATCTAATAGTATTAGCTAATATCTTATCTGACATATAATTATCTAAGTAAGGACTCAGAATTGACAGCAGCTCTTATTTCTTACTTTTATACCATCATTAATACTTTTGATTCAGAAAGAAGATTTAGGAGCCAGTGTGGAGAAGACTGAAGCTGCAGCAGAATTAAAAACAGCAACTGCTCCAGATACCCCAGTGGTCAGTGAACAGAAATTGCTCAAAAGTGATTCCCAGGTGGAGGCACAACCAGGCGATTGCAGCCATGTTGAATACACAGAATTGGCGTTGGAATGTCTGGATCTGAAAGCACAGGAGAAGCTTCTTTTGCCTCCACTCTCTGGTAATTAAACAATTTGAATAGTCTGTCATTTAGGTGTAAATACACATTGTGTCTTTTAAAGTGTCTTCCTTGATTTAACATCTGTATGTTTTTGTTTTGCTGGTGTAGCAGCAGAATGTGATGAAACAGAGTCGGATCCGACTGAGGAGTTACCTCTGTGCTGCTGTCGCATGGAGACTCCTCACTGTGGAGGCAGCCTGGCCCCCAAGGAACAGGCCTGCATGGCCACTGAAAGTGTGGATGGAATGGTAGAGTTCATCTGCACATATAAGCACACTGCAAGAATACTATAAATTATAATTATAATTACAAGACAGTTGTTTTTAAAACAATTGGAAAGGGTGACTTTGCTGGATGGCTCAGTGTTTAGTAGCTCAGTGTTTTCTTTTTCTTAAGGGCTCCCTCTTACAAAAGTAATATTTTAATTCACTTTCATAGGAAAGTAAAGGCTTCACTAAAAACCCCTACTTTACTCTTGCTGGACTGTTACATCTTTGAATGCCCACTTGTTTAACTACCCTCAGGTGAGTCGCTGTCAGAAGCGAGTGACAAAGCAGGAAATGATGCGGCCTTCCAACACTGTTCATCTAATGGTTCTGTGTGAGGACCATCGGGCTGGAATGGTCAAGCACCAGTGCTGCCCCGGCTGTGGACTCTTCTGCAGGATGGTGAGGAGAACAAAGTAACAAAGATACTTTGGTCACATCCTCCATTTAACTATTACTTATACTGCTAACAAAATATATTTGGTGAAAGGTGGATCACATCAAATCTACATATTCTAATAAACAAATGAATTAAGTACATCCTTTTAGTCTTTTGTTAGACTATTTTGTATTGACTTATATTAACAGCAACAGCACCTAAGACAATCACTAACTTTTTCATTATTTCTGTAGTTAGTGTTCGCTCCTGTCGTACAACCAGAACATCATAGGTTCGATCCCTGAACATATCCAGAGATCTTTCTGTTTGGAGTTTGCCTGCATAGGTTTTCTCCGTGTACACTGTAGATGGACTATAAATTCACCCTAGGACAAGGTGAATGTGTGTGTGATTGGAATGGCTCCACCCACAGTGAATCAAGCAGTTACAGATGAATGAATAAGATGCCGTTTTTGTCTCTTTACAACAGGGCACTTTCATGGAGTGCCGGCCATATGGCAGCATTTCCCATCGCTTTCATCGCAACTGTGCCTCCCTCTTGAAGGACTGCAGATATTGCCCACACTGTGGTGAGGATTCCAGCGGGGCGAAGGAGGTCACAGTGCCTAAGGCCGAACAGTCTCCTTCTGTACCCAGGTCCAAACCCAGACTGTCACTTCCAGCGCAGCCCACTGTGGCCACGCTGCCCTCGGCATCAACCACACCTGCAGTTCCACAAATACTTCGGGCTAAAAAGACCTGCACGCCTCAGAGGAGCAGAGATGAAAGTCCTAGCGGGTAACACAAGACGGCTGAATGTAGCTTTAGTTAGTGTAATTTCATCTTACACTTCAATATAAGATATCACTGCATGTTTTCTCCTTTCAGATTAAGAGGTGAGGCTGCATCTCCTGCAGACAGACCTAAAGAGTCCCTGGAGAGCATCCTTACAGCACTGGATGATGAGAAGTAAGGTTAACCTGGAGGAAAATGACATCAGTCTAACAGCTGAGGCGCGCCAGCTTAATCATAACTCCCTGATGCTGATATCACTCTTATTTGTAGCCTGAAACCAAAGAAAATGAAGTATCCCACCAGACAGCTGTACATCTCTGCTAAACAAGGAGAGCTGCAGAAGGTCATTCATCTTTTAGGTGAGCATTTTCACCTGCACAATTCTTTATACTTAATATATTAAATGGCAATTATAGCTGTAGTTAAACGATCTAAATTATAAAAATAAAAACAAACAAGCATTTATCCAAAACTCCATTTTAGTACAAAGGAGTTGTCTTTGTTTATACAGATTTGTAACATAGGTACTGTATGTAGATAGATAGATAGATAGATAGATAGATAGATAGCACTTTATTAATCCCTCTGGAGATCCCTTTGGTAAATGTATGTTCACACTTATTTATCATCCCTATTTATTAAAGTGGATGGGAAAGACCCAAACTATTTGGAGTGCACAAGCAAACGTACACCACTTCATGCAGCGGCTGCTGAGGGTCATCAGGAGATCTGCCACATGCTGGTTCAGGTGAGGAGACTGACACAGAACCATGTTCCTGTCCAACTCACAAGATATGTTTTCAAAAATAATCTGGTATAAATATTACATGGTTCATACTGTTGTGTTGTAAGATATACTCTGCAACACACTACTGGGCATATATGTATTATTTGTTTCCTAAAATATGAAAAATAAGAATAAGCTAATTGATGGACAAAAGATATGCAGTATATTCTCAGGTAATTAAGTTCAACCAGTGTATAAGGCATTTTTCATATTTCAACATCTATCTGAATATTTGTGTTTCTTTTCTAGTAGTTTCTCAAGTAATTTAATGAAAAAGAAAGTATAATTCTGATGGCCAAATATTCACAGACACGTTACATGATCTGCCACAAAATGTGGCTATGTTTATGTGTGTGTTTAGGCTGGAGCCAACCTGGACATGTTTGACGACCAGCAGAAAACACCATTGATGGTGGCCTGTGAAAACAACCATCTGGACACAGTGAAGTATCTGCTGAGAGCAGGAGCAGCCGTCAGCCACAGGGTGAGTCACTCACTCTTCACACGCACAAAGCTGCTTTCTTCCTCACATTGTCCCATTTGCTATGAATATGCTTATTTAAAAAATGTATTGTACTTAAATCTGTCTGATCTGATCATATTGGAAGCTTAATTAAATAAAATATTTTAATTTATTAAGGTGTAGCATTTGCAATATTAAAATTTTAATCATAATCAATTTGAAGTTATGTGTGAACACTTGGGATCGGTATCTGTTGGTTCATTTATCCTGTCAGCCGGGTGTCACCTTCTGTACAATTCTGCTACTTCATCATCATCATTCAACTACTATTCAGTTTTTTTCTTAAGAGTTTAGTGGGAATTTCTTGTTTTCAAGAGTGGGGTTTCATTTTTTAAATAACCCAACCGTGCCAACAAACAAATGCAGTGTAGTGTTGAAAGCAAATCATGTTGTCATCTCAGGATATCATGGGTTTCACTTGCCTGCACCTGGCTGCTAAAGTGGGGCATTTTGACATAGTTCATCATCTTGTCTCCAAAGCATCCAAACACATCAACTGTCAGGTAAAGACCATTCATCAGCACTTACTTGACTAACTGCTGCTAAGAGACAAAGCTAAGGGAATGAGCAGTGCTAATGTTTGCCATTGGCGTCTTGGCAGGATGATGGGGGATGGACTCCCATCACATGGTCCATCGAGTATAAGCACAAGGAGGTAGTATATCTGCTGCTGGCTAAAGGAGCAGATGTTAACATCAGAGACAAGGTGAGTACAACTTCTACTACAACTGTTGTTGAGATTATTCACCTCAGCATTCAATTGATTTTAAAATTTACAGTTGCTTCAATGCAAAATTTCTCTTTACTGATGATTAAAGGTTGAAGAGTTCTGTTAGGCAACTGGATGTGGGGTTTCTCAAAGAAGACATTTCACCTCTTATCCAAGAGGCTTCTTCAGTTCTAACTGGTGGTGGGGAGTACAGCAAGCAAGTATATATTTGCTGTTAGAACTGAAGATGCCTCTTGGATAAGAGGTGAAACGTCTTCTTTGGGAAATTTCATGTCTGGTTGCCTAACGGAACCCTTAAACCTTGACCATGACCTGGATGACTGAGAATCTTCATAGACTGATGATTAAAGTTTCAAATGTATTCTTTTGAAATTATTGTTATTATGAGCATTATGTATTATTCACAGGTTTCATGAACTTTTTATAATGTCCAAAGTTTGGTCTTTTACAACATTTGGACAGATTGCCTCATAAATTAACCATGGTGTCTTGGTGACTGTTGAAAATGTCCCAAATTCTAAACTTTAAAGAAAATTAATCAGCACTTCCATGCATTTAAAGTCTTGTGGTCACAAAATTTGAGATACTTGGATCAAAATGTAGTGAAAATATTTTAATGGAACTCAAAACCTCCACAATTTAGGTAAACTGGTCATATTTTTGTATATTTTTAAATTGTTCAACATTTTATCAATAGTTTTAAGTTGTAACTGAGGATATTGTATGGTAAGTTAAAGCTCTGATTTTACATTACAAAAACGTAGGTTCAAAATGTACCATGTTTTGAAAATATACATTCCACGGAGATTGTATCCTTGAAGTTGAATCTCCTGTGAGTGCTGACCTCCACTCTCCACCCTGAGCAGGAGGAGAACGTCTGCCTTCACTGGGCGGCTCTGTCGGGCTGTGATGATGTGGCCCAGGCTCTGCTGGAGGCCCAGTGTGACCTGAATGCTGTCAATGTTCATGGTGACACTCCGCTTCATGTTGCGGCCAGAGAGAACCATCTTGAGTGTGTAATGTGAGTGTATGGTGCTGAAACACAATTCACACATAGTCACGTTTGCATTACCAAATTAAATATATTCTGAACTCTGTTACCCACAGGCTGCTTTTGTCCCGCGGAGCAAACGTCACGGAGAAAAATAAAGAAGGAGACACAGCTCTAGAGTGTTGTGTCTACGGCTCTGGTGTGTGGACGGCCCTCAACACCAATAAGAAATTGACAGAAGCCAGGAGAGTCAGAGACTGTGGTGGAGAGAGAGTCCTCAGCAGGTAGGCTGTGATGCTGTGTTGTTTGTCTTAGAATCTCAGACAACATCCTATAAGACTTAACGCTACTTTTGGTTTGTGTGTTCCTTTTCTCAATCAGCTATTTTACCAGTATTTCATTTGGACAGTTGTATCTACTTTACTGTAATACATGCACGTGTTACACCAGACTTCAGGGTGTTCATTTCTTGTTGAAGGGACATTTCCCGAGGATACGAAGCTGTTCCTATTACCTGTGTCAATGGTGTTGACAGTGAGCCATGTCCAGAAAACTTTAAATACATACCAGACAACTGTGTCACATCCCCAGTCAACATAAACAAGGACATCACCCACCTACAGGTGACACCAGCTCTCTGTGTAGTTTTTTTGTGGTACACAGTTACCACGTTCCTCTGTGCAGTACAACTTCTGTTGATATCTCACCCCATCAGCATCAATGTGCAATTCTAACATATTACCTGACCTTTTGTCATGCAGCACTGTAGCTGCAAAGACAACTGCTCATCCAGCAACTGTGTGTGTGGTCAGCTCAGTCTTCAGTGTTGGTATGATAGTGTAAGTGCTCACACACACACACAGACACACACACACAGACGCACATGCACACAACCCATTGGATAACCAAACCAAACCACTCTTTTTTCTTTCTTTTTCATGCATTGGTGATTTAACTCTGAAATCAGTTACTGTCTCATTCCAACCAGTTCAGTCAACTAAACCTTTAGGGGAGAGATTATACTTAAAGTCTGCAAATGTCTCTCAGTTTTTAAGTTTCATTTTTTGATAGGTCTGGTGCATTGTTTCAGACCCTTTTTTGAGCTATGACACATATTTGACAATATAAAAATTCCACAGTGCACTACTGTCAGAAATATGTATATGGAATATAAATACGTAAAATGACCATTCCGTTTACTCACAATTCAGTTTACAGTAAATTCAGTTTACTCACAATTTGCTCAATGTGAAACCTGGGCTTGTTCAGCTGAACACAACGTTGATATATTTTCAGGAATGGAAGAAAGATTCACACCAATATCTTAGTTTTAAAAAGTTGGGATACACTTGTTTAGTAAACCCACACCAGAACCTTGGCCAGAAAGTTCAACCCAGAAATCACTTATAGCTTAGATGATGTGGATAATCTCTTCCTGACCTTGTTTGATTTAAAGACCAACCTTTGGAGAAATGTCCAAGCTAACTCTACAGGCTTCAGCGGCTTGTTAAAAATATTCATCTTCTTTTGTGTTTACCCATGAATGCAGGAGGGTCGTCTACCTCTTGACTTCTGTCAGCGAGAGCCCCCAGTACTGTTTGAGTGCAACCACGTCTGCTCCTGCTGGAGGACCTGCAGGAACCGAGTGGTGCAGAATGGAATCAGGTAACGTCTCTGTTGACATTGAACACAGAAGGAGAAGAATATACATGGCTGTAAAAAAACTTTAAAATGTACAGATTTAGATGAAGGTTGCCAAAAACTTTCTAGATCAATAATTACCGTTTGAATTTATAACAAACCTGAAAAACAAAATACTGTACATACTGTATTTTGGTCAGTAGTGTTGTGATGGATGATACAGAGATGGGACAGATACACCCATCCTCACAGTCTTTGTCTGGCAAAGTGGTTTAATCGGGGAATCAATTCTCTCTTCCAGGAAAAAGAATTACCTGGAATTGTTTTTTTCCTCTTGTAACAGTGTGTTTATGGGAATAAAATCAATGCGATCTGTTGTCTTAATGTTCCTGTGAAATCATCTGCCTCTTTCTGAGGAGTCGGATTAAATAAGCTCAATTGTTGCTGTTTGTTATTTCCAGGGTCCGGCTGCAGCTCTACAGGACGCAGACAATGGGCTGGGGCGTGAGAGCCATGCAGGATATCCCACAAGGAACGTTCATTTGCGAGTAAGCGCGGGTTCTAAGGAATTATCGCAAATTAGTGTTAAAGTGAAGTTGAAATGTTGATCAGCTGCTCTACTGTGGACTGTGTCCTTCCACAGGTACGTCGGAGAGGTCATCAGTGATGCAGAGGCTGACAAAAGAGAGAACGACTCTTTTCTCTTCACCTTGGATGATAAGGTGAATTACTGCATTTAAAAAAACTCTCCCATTTGGTCAAGAGGTGGAGCTGCAGAGTTGCTCATCTACACCCTTATGAGTGCATAATGTTTGCACTCTGTGGTTGATGTGATGATGATTGTTAGACCATTTGCAGAAGTAATGACTCAGGTTTGGGTCTTCGGCAGCCATTTGTTCTCCTGAAGAATGCTGTTAAAAACCCCAGTCTGTGTATTTGTTCATTCTGCCCCATCATTCTCACTCAGTGGAGAGTGAGGATGTGACAGCCTCCTGACCATAAATGGTATTTTTTCCCAGTGAGCAGTGCAGAAAGATGAAGATAAAGAGAAAAACAGAGGAAATGCTGAGGGGAAAGCTTTTAAAATGGAGATGTGACAAACACTGCAAATTGTTTCAAATCACTTAGTTGGTTAGTTAATGCACAACTAGAATGGAGACAATTGCAAGGCACTTGTGGAATGTGTTAAGGTTTTTCTTTATGCTTTTGAATACACTAATATCAACATCTGTTAGAGTCAAGTTGATGGTGAGATTGTGGTTACTTGTGTAAGGTAATTGCCTTCTATGATTAAACAGAAGAGTAAAATACATTTGTAAAATATACATTTAATCTAGTAAATGTTATGCTGTGTTTATATTTAATAGAAAATAATTTGGAAAGATTTTTTTTTTTAAATTCAACAACACATCAGCACTTTGAACCTGATAAATTCACATTACATGGATGAAGAACACAAATTGTATTTGAGTAGAAAGTCAAGCTTCTGAAACCTCATAGTAAAGAATATAAAATTAGGCCTAGAAACTTGGCACTGAACAGTGAAATAACAAACTGATATTAAATTTTCAAGAAGCACTTTCAGAGTAATTTTACCTTCATTAACATGCTGTGACTGACCCTTGTGGGGCTGCCATCGTTGCAGGTGGGGGATGTTCACTGTATTGATGGCAGGCTTTACGGCAACATCGGCCGATTCATCAACCACCTGTGTGAGCCCAACATTCTGGCTGTGAGGGTGTTCACCATGCACCAGGACTTGCGCTTCCCCAGGATAGCCTTCTTCTCCAGCAGACCCATCAAATCTGGAGACCAGTTAGGGTGAGTGCTGGGATAAACTGCGTTTGCTCAAATTTCCTGTGTTTCAGTAGGTAATCGATCTGGATTTTCCTCAGGTTTGACTATGGTGATCATTACTGGAAGGTGAAGAGCAAGTACTTCAGCTGCCAGTGTGGTTCTCTGAAGTGTCGTCACTCAGCTGCTAGCATACAAACTCCTGAGTAATCCCCTGAGAAGATTACAGACAGGTGTGAATGCACCCAGATGTGCTGTTAAATGTGTGCGGCCTGTCCTTTGTCTTCAGGGGACTATTTCGTCAGCTGACATCCTCTGACTCTGTTCATTTTTACGATTCAACACTACCACTTCTCTGTGTCCAAACATTAAATCACTGTAAAGATACTTTTTTTTTCATGTGTGTGTGAAGTGACCTTTGTGTCACTTTATATCTTGCACTATCCATGCAGACACCACCTACAGCCATGTATCAACAGTTGTACCTGATGAATCAGGGCAGATTTGACTTAATGAAAAAATAAAAAGCCTTCTAAGCCAGCTGACACATCATAGGAACTATTTGCTTTGCTAAGTGAGTTTGAGCTTGTTGAGAACGTTGTTTCTGAAGGTTTCTGTTCAATAATACTGTGTATGTACATATACTGTAACCACTAAGCTAACCCTGTCCTTTATTATTGATTTTAGTTTCTCAATTGTCCTTTGTCAGAACATGTTGTACTGATATTTTAGAAAAAATGCTATTTTTGTCTAAATGTTTTTACAGTTCTAATAAATAGTTTTTTTAAGTCATTTGGTCACATTTTTAATAAGTTTGTTTTCAGAGAAAATCTCTAATTTAGGTTGAATAAATGAATGTCTCCACTGCTTAGAGTTAAGTTATATATACTGAAGTGTACTTGTACTATAATAAGCATCTTGGTTTACAAAAGGGATATTTTTTTTAATCTTTAACAAATTCAGTTGATACCTGTAGCTTTATAGTGATAGCAGTAATAAAGGAAGACAGAAAGGGTTATAATGATGAATTTGGGTGTCAAGACTGTAAATGGACAATCTATTGTAATTCAGATTAGGGAAGACAGGAGAAAGACCAAGTTCTGTTTAATATGCAGGTCGTTCTAACATTCTCAATTTCTCCTACGTTTCCTTTTTCTTAGTTTTTCTGCCTTATTCTTCTTTAGATTTTTTTCCATTTTACTTTTTCCTGCTTTCTTCTGTCTTTCTTTCCCACTGATAAGGCGGTCCTCCCTGTTGCTATGGAGACAGGGCCGGGCCAGGTGGAGCCACCGACTGGCGTCTTGTCTGTCACGTGGGTGCGGCGTGCGTGTGCACGTGTACTTTGCACTGTGGATGAGGGAAAAGTGCTGTTTACACACACACACACACACACACTCGCAGATGATGTGCACAGTGACGCGCCCTCACGCACATTAGCAGTGAGTTCAGGGAAACGCAGCACCCAGTCAAACCGTCAGTGACTCCTCTCATTCTCCGGGTTCTGCCAGCGCAGACACCAGCCGTGACAGCGGCGGCAGCGGCGTGTGGAGCAGCGCAGTGTGTCAGCTGTTGAGCAGAGCAGAGCACAGTCATGGTGTCGCCTCTGGACGTTTTCCTTTTCTTCTCTGTCTTTTTTGGAAGGGAAAATCAGGGCTGAGTCCCGGCACTGACGGCTGGCATCGTTTCCTGAGGCGTCTTCCTCCCTTTCTCTCATTTTCTTTCCTTGTGTGTTAAAGTGCCATTTTTCTCCTCAGTGGAATCTTTTTTGTGGGGTCTTACTGCTGTAGCATGGACTTGTGGCGCCGCTGCTGACTCCTTTTAGTGTGTGTGTGTGTCGTGGAGTGTGTCTGAGGAGCGGCACCGCCACAGCCGGAGCACAAACACCCATGAAAACAATGATGTTGCATCATGGGAGCTGCTCAGCCAAACTTTGAGCCACTATTGAATGTGGGAGCAGCTGAGAGCTGTGGAGGAGGCACCAGGGTCCAGGAGATAACACACTGATGTTCTTTGGTGAATGCTGGACTCGGTGGACGCTCCTCGCCGCCTAATGAACTGGACCACAGAGCCACGCTGCGTGTTGTTGTGATGCTTCTTCCTCATTTACTGTCTGCCCAGTTTTGGTTTCAGCAGCAGCATCAGCAGCAACAGCAGCAACATCAGCATCAGCAGCCTAGACTTCTCTGCTTTCTCTTAATGGCTCGCTTCGAAGACGAACTGTCCAGCCGTTATGGAGGCAGCTGTGCCTCGGGCCCGGCCCGAGGGGCCACCCGGCAGCAGGGGGCACCGGGGGTTCAGAGAATGTACAAGCAGACGATGGCCCAGAGAGCCCGGACCATGGCCATCTACAACCCCATTCCTGTCAAACAGAGCTGCCTCACTGTCAACCGCTCTCTGTTCATCTTCAGCGAGGACAACATCATACGGAAATATGCCAAAAAGATCACTGAATGGCCATATCCTTAACCCTACAGTACACTGATACATAACCAGCCAAAAGCAATCCAATCAAGAGGTAGAGTGAGCAAGAATTGCCTAAATAACAAATTACAAAATCATGACGTTTAAGGATTTTTTGTAGGATTAAAACATGCATGGTGGTGAGGTTATATAAAGGGTTGGTGTTGTTTTTTTATTTTTGTCATGGACGTCGTTAAGTCCATTTTTATAAAGGCTATATTGTACTTGTACCTTCTATTTTAACATTAATTCTGGCAGCTAATTTGAACATTATGGAAAATGCCAACACCTGTGCTATCGTCCTAAATTTAGTCGATTACTGATAGACAGTCACAGTGTCATGGCTAGCTCAGGATGCACATAACATGAACAGGAGTTGACAATCAAAGTGATTCTGTGCCAAATGTAGGCCAAGTGAATTTAAATATGTGATGATGATTGGCCCATCTTGGGTTTCAGATTAACCTGTGTGGACTTCTCTGAAGGATGCACAAAACAAACGGTTTTAAAACGAAGAGCCCTAAAAAATATTCACCTAAAACAGGTACTAAATACAGTATTTGTCCAGTTTAATGTCTTTACTCCAAAAATGTAACAATTTTATCATTGAGAAACTGATATATTCAATTAATATTGACTTCAAGTGTACATGTAAAAGTGTTCATTTGGATCTGTAAAGAACAAAAGTCAAATTTGATACAGACCTTGTCTATTTTTTGTGGAAATAAACTTGCTCTTGCCTAGGCCCTGGAAAAGGTGCCGTGAATGCAGGTGCAATTCCCCAGTAAGTCTACAAGATCAAGTCATACATTTAGCCTTAAAAACCTTGGGTTCTTGGGTTTTTTCCGGATGAATTACTGCCACCTGCTGATACTATTTCTATGATACGTTTAATGCCATTTAAATAAACAGAGAAACAAGAAAATGCAGACAGAGGACATTGTCCATTTATGTTCCTAAAGTGATGGGGGGGAACCATTTATCAAAAGTCATATTTGATTCTTTGATCTTGTTCCTTTCACTACACCATTTTACAAAGTCTACTCTCACTGAGAGAGTAGTTGTGCTGTCCATGGTCCTGAAGTTCCAGCGGGCTGGATGGCCTCAGCAGTGTGGAGGCGGCTGCAGTCTGCTCTGCATGGGTGTGACGCCAAACAAACAAGCCTTAGCTGTTCAATGCAGCAGGAAGCATTTTGGAATTGGTTGCTCGTCCATTTAGTGTAATTGATTTATTTTGCAGTGAGGGTTAGTGATTATGTGAGCGCGGACGAAACTTGAGTTTTTCTCTGCATCCACTTAGAGATGAAATAACCTCTCGCTGCTGTGGACTGAGATACTTTTTTTTTTTTTTACAGAAAAAGTCTGTGTAAAACACTTTGCTATTAATTCACATTAAGTTGTGTAATAACCTTTGTTGCATTAGTCTGTGGGTGATTACCTCTGCTGCTGAAGAACCATTTATCATTCTTTGATGTTGTACTGCATCACCCAGCTGCATTTCCCAAAACAGAGCAATCACAGCAGCTATACAGGATGATCTATTGTGGCCCTAAGCAGCTGGAGTTCACTGGATAATCCTCCCCCTCTCCGCCCCTTCCTCCTCCTCCCTGGAGGAGCCGTAGTGCTCCAGACTGAAAGGGTGATGGTGAAGTGGTCGTGTTAATGACCCAGCAGCAGTCACTGCAGGGAAGAGAGATGCCCAATTATCTGTACAAATCTGTGTATGATTTCCTGAAGTAACCAGAAACTGCTCTCCTCTCCTGTCAGTCTGCTCAGTGCAGGAGGAGGATTGGAAAATGATGAGGTAATTATTTGAATTGACCTGAGAACAGAGATAATTTGTCCCATCCTGTCTATCTGAATGATTGGAGATTGAGTGCATAGAATGCACACCATTAAAAGGATAGTTCAAATTTTTAGAAGTGTGATAGTATGAGGTGTGTTTAGATTATTTGTCTCATGGGTCAGAGTGCTGTGCTCATCAGCATGGGTGTTACCCCCTGTCTATACCACCTTGTTTAACACTACGTAGGTGTTGCATATTTTCCAATTGAATTCAATTGAATATTGCACCTTTAAATTCTTGTGTAATAGTCTCTTGTTATGAACACTGAGAATAAGCCAGCAGAACATTCATAGAGCAGATATTTAATATGCACACATGCTGTTCCGACTGGATTGAGTCTGTCAATTGTCAAGTGCCCAGACTGAGCCCAGTTAAAATGTATTTCAGTTCCAGCCTTATCCTCTCTTCTCTTTGTTTAAAGTCTTTTAGTGTGATCAAAGGTGTCATTTTTAATACACGCATAAAACAGACATTTAACACTGCTGCCTGTGCCAGGCAAAAATAGTATTCGCTGTCAAAGTTTTATTGTCGCTGCTCTAATAATTCAGAGAGACTCTGTGTTGTGTCTTTTTGGTTTAAAATGCCCAAATCACCTGTTCTGTGTTTTCCTTTCCTAAGTTTTTATTTCCTGATTGCTTGATTGCAGAAGGTAAAATGTTTTTGATTCAAATATATATAGTTTTTAACAGCAAGAAAAAAAATTGTCACAGTATTTCATTTGCTGTGATTAGGAAAAGCAAAATAAGTAGAATGATTTCACAGTTGGAAAGCTGAAATTATAGAACTGCTTTTAATGAAACAAACATTCTACTGATTTGTTTTGTTGTAGGTTTTTTTTGTGGTTTAACCTTTGAATATCTATTGCAAATAATTTCCTTAACATCTTACTCCATTTGAGTACATGATCCTGGCCACTATCATAGCAAACTGCATCGTGCTGGCTTTGGAGCAACACCTTCCAGCTTTGGACAAGACGCCTATGTCTGAGCGTTTGGTGAGTGTTACACTATTTTACTTTTTTTCAAAGTAAACAGATTTTTTTACACGTTACTATTAGACTGAGCTTCATTGATCCCACACTGGTGATATCTAAGCCTCTAAACTTCTTCCCTGACTTTGTGATCCTTAGTTTTCTGCATTAAGGTGAAGTTCATAATCTGCATGTTTTCACCAATAAAACCACTGAAAGAGACAATCAGCATTTTAAAATCATCATGTGGTCCACAAGTGCCCCCAGTGTAAATTACACTACTCCAAATCTGAAGAATTTCAGGAATTGAATTAACAAAATTTGATTCAACTGAGGGAAACTGAGGATCAACTACTGTACACCGTTGTGCTGTGACTTTAAATCAGATTATTTTTGACTGTTGTAAATGTTAAATATATTCCTGCAACAACTTGAGCCTTTAGCAGTTTTTTTTTTGTTAGTTGAGCCATCTGTTAAATTGCTGAACTACATTTTTTACTTTGGGCTTTTGCTGTGAGGGAACATGTATGTTTTGACAACGATGTACATCTGTGTTACACCAGATATTATTATTATATTCAATGTCATTTTTCTTTTTAACTCTCCTCACTGACAATGCTGTAGGTGGAGCAGAACCCTACAGAGCTGCCTTTCATCTTCACTGTGTACTGTCACGCCCGGTCTCCCCCCTGCTGTGCTCCCCTCTGCCCTAGTTCTCTAGTTAGATGTTAGCATTAAAGAACCTTTCTGTACAAAAAAAAACAGCTGATGACTGTGATGGTGCTGGTGGTGATGTGGATGCAGGGTGGGTTAGAGAATCAAATGTCACTCCTGAGGTCCCAGAGCAGCTGGCTTCCATTGATCTGTCATTGATTCTCTTTCTACAACATGCCTAATGTAACATTGTCTGACAGATACTGTGAACCAAAGAGTTGGTGCTGATGTGAACTGATGAGAGGTGTCGTCAAGTATGTCTGGCTGCTCTGCACAGTCTCACAGCTTAGCCCTGCAGTTTATTTATGATGAGTCTCCTTACGATTTCTGAGGGAATCTGAAGACGTACAGTCTTACAGCTGGGTTACAACAGACATTAACATGAGAGATTCATCAGTCTTTTATCAAAACCCGAATTTAAATCAATTTTTTTTTAAAAAGTTCAAGTATTAAAAATGAAATGTATTTCAATATTAAATAATATGCATACAGACCAGTGTGCTTTTTAAAAATATGTAATATTAAAGAATAGACAACTTTTTTTAAGAATATTTTTGTATTATTATTATATTGTAGACCTTAGCTAGACTGTGGCTTCATTGGATGATCTTAGCTGTGTCTACTCATGTGTATCCCCTAACTTGTGCGCCACTGGCAAACTGTTTTCCTCTAAATGTGATCTTACTATTGATTACCTATTAAAAACGTGGATGACAATAAATGTCTGAAAGATACAGTTTCACAGTATTGATCAGATGAGCTCACAACAACAGCATGGCCAACACACAAACACATGGAGCTTTTATGACTTTTTATGAATCCTCCTCACTGTGCTCTTTTTTTCTTTTCCTCCTCCTGGCAGGATGACACAGAGCCCTACTTTATTGGAATATTTTGTTTTGAGGCTGGTATCAAAATCATCGCCCTGGGCTTTGCCTTTCACAAAGGCTCCTACCTACGTAATGGCTGGAATGTAATGGACTTTGTGGTGGTCCTAACAGGGTAAGTAGCACTGGCCTAATGGCTAATACAGCTGCTAAGTGACAGAGCTGATGTGCAGCAGCGATTAATGACGTGTGTGTGTGTGTGTGTGTGTGTGTGTGTGCTTGAGGTGTGGCCTACAGTTAATGTGCAACAAAAGAAAATAAATATTAAAATGACATCTTTTGTCCTTTTATAATAAGAGAGATAAGAGAATACAACTAGAATAGCATTTTGACTGAAGTAATTAAGTAATTAAAATGCATTTTCTTTTTACATCAATAATTTATTATTCTTTTCAAACCATGGTGAGCTGGTTCCACCGCTGTAAAATAAAGTAAAAAGTGTAACATGTGGCGGAAGTTCTATATTATTGTCTGATGTATCAGCATTGGCATCAGAACAAAGTGACAGCTGTGACAATATTCCAGTGGATACTGTTTTTCAAATGTCACTTGCACCTTCTTTAATACTGAAAAGAGAGAGAACTTTTCAGTGTTGCTAATTGAATCAGCTAACTGGGAGATACATATAATTAAGAAAGACAGGTGGTTTAGGAATTGATCAACACTATACAGGCAGTCTAAGTTGGGAATTGGGAGCTGTTTTCACCTTCTTCTGATACACAATTTAATTAAAATACTAAGCACTGTCTCAAGACGTAAACACATACATTACATTATTATATTTAAATATTATCAAAGTTGATGGAAGATAAGATGTTGTAGGGTTGGTGGAGCTGAAAGTTGTTGTTTTTTTTACCTTACTACCAGCAGCTTCGATAAGACCTCAGATGTGACGGTCCTTGTACAGCTAACAGTAGACCAAGTCACAGAGTTAAAAGTTTTGAATTTTCAACTTTTGAATAAACAGTAATTTATTTTAATTGCACAGTGAGTTTGTTCCATTCTGTGGGTGAAGCAGACCAGTGAAAAAAGTGAAAATGATGCATCAAAATGTTCTAATGGGTTTTCTTTGCATAATCGGCTCGCCTAGTAAATTTCTACTTTAGATATATGTACTTCCATTGATCCCAGGCTGGGAAATTGCAGAACAATAAATTAAATCTTCCCGTCGGGAAATTGATCCCCAAAGAGCTGTGTCTTAATAAATAACTGAATATATTAATTGTTAGTCCTGTTGGTGGATGTGGAAGGTTTTCTGTATGCCAAGACTTGTTGTTGTTACAGCTTGCATTTCTATTTTACCTTTCCCAAGTGCCTTTGGTTAATTGCTCCTGCATGGCTAATATTCTGTTTGACCTATAAATTCAAAATGTAATTCATTCCAACGACTCCTGTTGAGATGTCTATTAGAGGAACAGCAGCAGCAGAATGTGTCAGACTGCAGTGGAACACCTTGGCTTGGTGTCCAGGCTGTGGTTTAATGTACCAAACCCTCTGCAGATTAGATGCATGGGGTGTGAGGTCTGAGGTGCAAATCTCAGTGTTGAGTGTGTTGAGTGAATTTATGGAGGATGAATATTGTGTCTGAAATAGAGAGGGCATTTCAGAGTGTGAAATGTTGAAGTTTAAATTCAGTTCAGGTTGGTGCTGAATGGAAGAATAATAATGTGTGTTACAAAGTTTCACTTTTCTGCTGGGACCACCTTACAGACATAACTTCATTTACAGATACAGTATATAGATATAGATATAGTCATAAATACATGGTGAAAAAAAAACAATTACTCATCACTTCTGTGTGCCTGTCTGTGGATGACCTACAAGAGTCTGAACATTTTTAGAAAGTTAAAATAAAGGAAGTTGAAAAGTCTTTCAAATTGACTTGTTAGCAGTGGTGCAGCCAAAAGACAAATTATATATATTTGTCTAATGTTCATCAGAACCTTATGGTCTTAGGTATTTTTCAGGCCTATGTCCAGGGACAACTGAATCATTGTGCAGGGGGTTTTAAGATGTTTAGCAGCCCTGGGCTGGTCCTAATCAGTTCGTTACATTTGTTGCTCTGCACAAATGCTCAGGTGAAGAGATTCTACTGGACCAGGTTTGCTGTGTCTTCTCTGATAGGCTGTGGAGTAAACAGAGAGAATCCCTCGGTAGAGCTTGAGAGAGAGTATGTCTCCTTGTGTGTGTGTGCAAGAATAGTGCTGTTGTTGTCGGAAGGGTTGGAGTGTCGGGGGTTGGTGGGGGAGATTGGGGCCGGTTTTAGAAGCGCAGTCCCTGGGCACTCGCTGGTTTCACCAGGGGATGGTCCAGCCTCTCTCACATAATGACACAGATTTATTCAGGCCATCTATTGTGGTTTGTGCCAGAATCCTCACTGCAGTAAACAGAGCCTCTGTTAATTCCCAAACCTCTCATCAGTGACCTGGCCCCACCCACTAGAAGTCTCCAGAAGCCACTGAGCCACAATTACTGCTGGGTGAATAGGAGAGGAAGCAGTCGCTGAAAATTATAATGCCATCCTCCGGAATACGTCTGGTTTCGTGAAATGACGCACAGATGTTTCAGTAAAGTGTGTGTGTGTGTGTGTGTGTGTGTGTCTGAGTGGAGAATGATTTTTAACCCTTTCAGAGATTTCTGGAAAGGTGTGTTTACGCTGACCTCTTTCTTTTCAATGAAACTAAACCATTTGATCTAGTGCAGTAGTTCCAAAACATTTTTTGGCTGCGCCCCCCCTCCTCCTTTATTTAAACTGGGTTTATGCACCCCCAATTCTCCACACCTTTGGAAAAAAAAGTCAGCTTTTGATTATAAATTTTAACATTTATTTTTTTCTTGGAAAAATCCCACTTGACATCTCACAAGACCAGAACATTCTGTGCTGTTACAGTACCACTGCTGGCTAGCAGGTGTTGCTCGTGAAGGAGTGCTGGATTCTGAAGGACGTCCATATAAATTAATTTGTTTTTTCTCTCTTCCCCATCTGTGGCTGCCAACGTCATTTATTTATTATGTATTTCATTTAAATTCTGAATGAACCCAAAAAGTCATGCAGGATTAGAGGTGTCAGATTATCATTTTTAGACAGTATAAGTGTGAGTTATTTTTTATTATTTATCTGACTTTAATTTAAATTTTTAGGCTTTTTTGTATCACAGCAGTAATTCCTAAGATGCTCAGTGAGAGATCATTAGCTGGGAAACTATCTAATTTTATTTAGTTTTTATATTAATTCAGCAAATAATTTGTTTGGTTTGCATTTGCAACAGGTAAACACTTAAATACTGATTCACTAGGTGTTAACTGATGGCTGTAAAACTAAAATAGGAAAGAAACTCTTTGAGCTGTTGAGGAAGATCTTTGTGATTGTCTTTCTTCAATTGCTGTATATCATGGTTGTTTTCAACTAAACAGGCCTGGATAAATTGTAAGAAGAGTTTAACTAGAAGTTGTATTTCATTACAATTACTTTTTGGGCCTATTTTTATGGCGTGTTGTGGAATTGTATTATCTTGTGCATATTGTATTACAGTATGTGACCATATGTCCAAGAAGGTTGAGAAACACTGTATTACAGTGTGAGAAAAGACCCCTCACTCATGGCCTCCCTCCAATGGCCTCAGGTGCAGTAACTGACTGTTAACAGCCCTGTGGGTAAATAAATGTCTCAACAGCCTTGTGTCAGCCTGACATTCAGTTGTCTCCAAGCTCTGCAGCAGCTTTGTTCCCAAAACAATTTGTCTCATTTGTTTGTGTCATTTTTGTGCCTTTTTTTGGACATTAAATCTCTAATAATAATTGCAGTGACTTGTTAGAAAAATTAAACAGCTTTAGTTATTCTGATGATGTCATCTGCACCAAGAACCAGCAGAGGACAACCGTGTTCGAAAACATTGAGGCTGTTTGGATAGTGTAGGGTGTGGAACGAGTTGTTGTTCCTAATGCAGTTACCCAACTTTAATCTGGTGTTTTTAAAAAAAGAAAAGGTTCTCTCCATCCTCTTCTTCTCCTCTCCATCCTCTCCTGTTGTTTTTATTTTAAAGTGTGTCTGGGAGCATCTCACGTCGGCTAAAAGTTAGCAGCTCAATATGGTCACTTTTGATGGCAGCAAGGTGGTAGTGTGGTATTAACATTTTAAACGTGTGATTGCTGTACTGACATACAGTGAATGACTGGATTGACGTGTGTGTGTGTGTTTGTGCATAGGCTTGAAAACAAATTACGTTTCCATGATGATGCTCATTTCCTGCAGGATGTGCCATGCTGAGGCTGATAGTGAGCAGTCATTGGTGGAGACTCACTGATTATTTAGACTTAAATATCAATGAGCGCCTGTTAAAATGTTACCAAATCATCAATCACACGAAACTGTTTTCACCAAGTTATATTGAAAAAGAGGATATTATTAGGTATTACATGAATGCTCTATCCAGTTGGGGAACGTTCCAAGTGAGTAAAAGAATACACTAAGACTATGGGGTTGGCTTTTGCCACAGTAGGAAGTTTGGGGTTCTGGTACTTTTGATGTTTTAAGTGTTCTATTTTGATAGCAATAAAATAACTAAGGAACTAGAGTGGTAGGACTGAACCTCCCCTGTCTTCCACTCGTAGGCTACGAGTTTGATACAACCTGTCAACAAGTCCCAGGTTCGGTTGTATTAGGAAGCTGGAGTAAAACAGTGCCAAATCACTGTGCAGTTTACCTACTATCTACTGCTGAAGTCAGTTTTTCTTGTCAATGTATAATCAGTCAGTGGCAACGAAACATATACACTGTGACATCATATTTTTAAAAGAATCTCACAACAAAGATCTTTGTCTGTTTGTAAGGTGAATACATTTTTTTTTTTTTACTGCCTCCTCTAGTGTTTCAATGTCACACAGGTTTGAGTCCTGGTTCAGGACAAGATGGTTATCTACGATAGAGTTTTTTGGGGCCATTAGCTGCTGGCAAGTAGAGGTACTGCACCTAACAACTGCAATTACAAATTAAAAAATGAGGCTCAGATGAGATGTTGATCTGTTATATATTATATATATTATATATACACCAGGATTGAATGGGTTATCTTTCGATCTCATAAATTGTCTTTAGACCATTACTCTGCTACACAT